TAGTTGATTTAAAAGGCAGCACCTCCGAGTTCAACATTCATCTCCGAAAGGAACGAGGTAAGTGGGAAATTCGTGTAAAGTGCCTTTCCCAAGGACACAATGTCGGACCGGGCTGAGGCTCGAACCCCCGAATATGCAATCTCACGATTACGAGTCCGTAGCCTAATCGCTAGGCCACCGACGTCACTCTGGTCTAGAGCTCGCTCCGAGACGGTCTTGTATGTAGCTTTCGTCAAACAGGCATTCTGTGGTCGTGGACTCTGCCTCTTACCTGGGCATTTCGCTACCCTTGAATTATGAAGTTATATCGGCTCAGTTCCTAATTTTGAGTTATTTGAAGTTTAAAAATTTGAGGTCTAGGGGGCCAAGTGCATAAATTATTTAATCTCAGGTATCTCTCTCTCTCTCTCTCTCTCTCTCTCTCTCTCTCTCTCTCTCTCTCTCTCTTTCTCTCTCTCTCTCTCTTTCTCTCTCTCTCTCTCTCGCTCTCTCTCTCACTCTCTCTCTCTCTCTCTCACACACACACACACTCACAAACACACACACACACACACACACACACACACACACACACACACACGTTAAGAAAGAAAATGCTCGAATGCTACTACATCTCCCCAATTTTCCTACATAACGCTGAGACCTGGATTTTGACTAAGAAAGAAGAAAACAAAATAGCTGTGTTTAAAATGTGGTGCTACCTTAAAATGGACAGAATAAGATGAAAAGCAAAAATATCAGAACAATGTGTTGTGTACAATTCTCCACACAAGACAAAACCCTGTTGAATAGAAAAAAAAAATTAGGAAAATATAATACTTTGCCCACTTAAAACGACACGAAACCATTGTGAAAGAGGTGCCTGAAGGAAGGATGTGGGGCAGAGAAGCCAGAGGAAGACAAAGAGTAACTAGGATGAACAACATAAAAACATGGAATTGCGTGGATAATTGTGATAGAATGTGTAACGGCAGCTAGCGACAGTGATGGATGGAAAGTCATTACACGTCAGCCTCTGAGTCAGAGATGACACCTCCAGGTATCCAATCCTTAACTTCATGTACAAAATATGAGCTTTCTGCCTCTTGTGATCTGAGTTAAGTTCAGTTTTAGCAAAACTTTAAAGGCCCTTCCAATACTAATTGATCATGATAAGTTTCGAAGATTATACATTTTAATAGAGAGCATCATGCATAATATGAGTACAAAGAAACGAAAGAGAGATAAGGACGATATTATGATAATATCTTCTTTGATAGATGAGAAGCTGCAAACTGAACCAGAGCATTCAACAACCACCCGCTATTGTAATCTGTCCTATCTTTTGAAGCTGTAAAAACCATCAAGCTAATTATGATTGTCCGGACTTTGAAGATACCCGAAGGAAATACATGTACTATAAATGTAGAAATTTGTAAAATATATTCTCGATCGTTAATCCCAACATAATTCTCGATTTTATAAAGGCCATTAGCCTTAACAGTGAAATGCAAATATTGTTATTTTAATCAAATATTAATTGCTTTAGCTTTTACGAGGGATATTTTTACCCCAAAATTTGTTAACTTTTTAACCTGACAATTAAACGAAATGAAACCCTGCTTTGAACTATTATTTAAGGCAGCCAACTTTTGTTTCGCGCGCTGCTATGACCTTAATATGTAGTTGCAAGCGGTGTAAAACACTTACTAAACCAAACCAGGATAATATTTACTTCCAGTATCTCCTAGAATCAACCTCAACTATTGCCTTTTCACAGCAAGAGAGTTTTAGCAATCATCTGCCCCCTTTTATTTGTCAATCTTTCAGCATTTTAGTTACCCTAGAAACATTGAACCGGGATGGATCAAATCTTGAAGTGTATCAAAAGTGGTAAAATTTGCCACCTTAAGATTCCAAAGCCTGATATACGAAGCAGGCCCTGTAATGGTCAGCAACCGTTGAAAGCAACTGGTGCGACTTGAGATTGCCATAACATGTTGCGCGTCTTTACTTTCTCTCTGTCTTTTCAGTCACTCCTCTGTACTTTCCCTCTGTCATTCTGTCACTCCTCTTTACTTTCCGTCTGTCATTCTGTCACTCTTCTTCAATATTCATCTGACATTTCTGGCATTATTCTTTACTTTCCCTGTCATCCATATTTATCAGCTCCACTCTTTTGAAGTACTACTTAATGGCAATTAACGAATCCATCGTATTGCCTTTATTCAAACAGAGACTACTTGGAGGCCGCTAGACATCCACTACAATAATAATACTATTCTGTCCTCTTTGCTTTATTTCTCACGTTAGGTATTTAAACACTTTTAAATACGTCTTTTTTTAAAGCGCAGAATTCAAATATTCAAATGAAATTAGCCTTTAATATAATTTGAAATTTCTATCATGATCAAAATAATGTGGTCTTTTAAAAAACTTACAGCCTCTGACTGTAATCTCTTCTTTCTTTTTTTTTAACGACGTTCTGTGTCATTTTATAGAACTCCAGCCACCAACCTGAGGTTCAAGCCCAAGTTGGAGCTTACCAATGTCTGCGACAAGTTGTAAGTCTTGGCTTTCTGACGTCACACGCAACGACGCTGTCCGGTTCCGTCTCCCGAGTCCCCGAGACCCGCTCGCTGTGGCTGCCCGTCCGGACACGGTTGAGTCAGGCGTCGCCACAGAAGTGGTTGGAAAAGCAGAGGGGACATCGGTAGGTTCAGCCCTGTTTGAAATGGGAAATCGGGTAAACTTTTTTGTTACAACGTGTCGTTTTGAAATAATTATTCTATGCTGTAGTGGCTTCATATTGTTGGTATCGCATGCAGTTTGATATCCCGGTAAGAATGGGGTTTTTATTGTTGTTGTTTGCTTTGATTTATTTTTTAAATTTTTATCATCGAGTTTTACTGTCTCTTGAATCCAAGGTAAAAAGCAGAAGAGAGAGAGAGAGAGAGAGAGAGAGAGAGAAAGAGAGAGAGAGAGAGAGAGAGAGAGAGAGAGAGAGAGAGAGAGAGAGAGAGAGATTGGGAGAAAGAGATGAAGAGCGGGAACGCAAACAAAGTAGGGTGGAGGTGGAGGACAGAAGCTGATAGAAGGAGAGACAAGACGAGGTTACGGAGTACAACATAATGTACACACTCCACACACTTCTGAGACCGGGACCGCTGATACAATCTTACACACACACACAAACACACACACACACGACAGAACGCAAACACACACATGACAGAGAACACTGTCGCACGCGCGCACACACACACACACACGCGCGCGTACGAAAGCGCGCGCACAAACGCAAACTCTCGTGTTTTCCAGACAAGGCGGCCCTCTTACTGAAGCAAATTATTCAAAACAAGGGCAGCTTCTGTGCTCTGAGACAGAAGAGAAAAGAAAAAAATTTGAGATTTGAGAGGAACAAAAGAAAAAGAAAAGAAAAAAAAAGGAAGAGGAAGAGCAGAATGAAATGTTGAGCTTGG